GCTTAAATATTTCAGCTTCTCTTTTGCTTTACATTGTTCGACTTTTATCTTAGTCGCATAATTTTCAGCTTTACGTGCTTGTAACAGATGATTCATATCTTGCCGTGGGAGAGTCCAAATAATGAACCGTTTGATGACTTCAATATCTAAAATATATCCAATACTCAGAATCAAAAACCTTCAGAATCGCGCCGGATAATATTTTGAAACCAACTTTAGATTTCACCATGTTAAAAATTTCAGATTTGCACAGTCTCACCAAAAAATTCATATCTCAGTGTAGAAATATCGAAATTGCAAACCGTTTGATGTCAAGAAAACTAGACTTCAAGATTCAGAACATATCCAAAATTCTCAATCAAACAACTTCAGAATCGTCCCAGATAATATTTTGAAATCAACTTTATATTGCACCACTCTATCAATTCCAGATTTGCGCAGTCTCACAAAAAAATTCATATCTCAGCGTAGAAATATCGAAATTGCAAACCGTTTGATTTCAAGAAACCTAAACTTCAAGACCTAGAATGTGTCCAAAATTATCAATCAAACAACTTATGAATCGTCCCAGATAATATTTCGAAATCAACTTTACATTGCACCACGCTATCAATTCCAGATTTGTGCAGTCTCAACAAAAAAATTCATATCTTGGTGTAGGAACGTTGAAATTAGGAACCGTTTGATTTACTGAAAACTAGACTTCAAGATCTTGAATATATCCAAAATTCTCAATCAAACAACTTCGGAATCATCCCAGATAATATTTTGAAATCAACTTTATATTGCACCAAGCCATCAATTCCAGATTTGTGCAGCCTCACAAAAATTCATGTCTTGGAATGGAAGCCTCGAGATCGGAAGATGTCTTACTTGCCATCAATCAAAATTTAAGAGCCATATTCTCACAAATATCTTGAGTTCAAGTCTCACTGAATTTGAAACGTTGTGCCAAGCAATACTTTCCTTATACTTGTGTTTCCTTTTGATGTCTCTCTTCTCTTCCCCTTTTTTATAAGGTAGAGGGCGGACTTGGAGACCAACAAACTTGAAGGTTTGGCGAACCTGAAGACATAGAGAATCCCTGGAATTCAATGAAAATACTTGACATCCTCCTAAAATTGGCCCATCGAAGATATCAATTTACCATGGAGGGTTGCCCCCTTTAAATCAAATGAGGTCAAAGTTCAGTAAGAGGATGGCATTTAAGCTTGATCTTACATTCCTTCATAGTTCATTCAAACAACAATTGGGGTAATATGTATCTTTTGAACTTATGCGACTGAACTTAGAATGAAACTCTAAGCTGCCTATGTACCTCGGTGAAGAGGATCAAGTCATATCGTAGTTCAGACTGGGTAGATTTTTTTTTACATCCTAACTTTTGCCTAGGCCGTCTCTTTCGAGATTTTCAACCTAGCGGACTTTTTTGGGTTGTACACAGTTTATACTCTTGCGTTACAGGAGTGTAGCAATATACAGTTTAGGCTCGTGCGTCAAGGAGCGTTGCAACTTCAAGGATAATACTTCTTCAAAATCTTGCCATTGATAGGGCCGATCCTCATACCATCTGCATCAACCAGCTTGTAAGCCCCACTTGAGTAAGCTTCTTGTACGACATGTGGCCCATCCCATTTTGAAGTGAACTTCCCTACAGGTTTATGGGAAGTAATTATGGGTCTTCGTACGACAGGGACTTGATCGCCTACTTGAAAGGATCTCGGGCGAACTCTTTTATTGAAGGGCGAGATAATCGAGCTTGATAACATTCAAGATTCTGTTGAGCTTCCAATCTCTTTTCATCAAGAGCTTCCAACTCTGCTAACCGAAGTTGAGTATTTTCTTCATCAGTGATCCCTTCTTGAATAGTCAGTCGTAACGAAGGTATTTGACGCTCCAGTGGCAAGACGACTTCGACTCTATAAACGAGTGAATAAGGAGTCGCCTGTGTTGGCATGTGGTGAGTCGTCCTATATGCCCATAGAGCTTCTTCCATATGGTCATTCCAATCTCGTTTGGATTTGGAGACGACTTTCTTTAACAAGTTGCATAGAGTCTTGTTGAATGCCTCAACTAGACCATTGGCGGCAGCATTGTACATCGAAGAGTTACGTTGCTTGAAGCCAAAGAGATCACAAATCTTGTTCATCAAGCTATTATCGAATGGATTTCCATTATCCGTTATTATGTAACGAGGAATGCCAAAGCGATAAATAGTGTTTACTCGGATGAAACTTGCAACATTTTCCTTCTTTACTTCCTTAAGAGCAACAACTTCAGCCCATTTTGAGAAGTAGTCAGTTGTAACCAAGATGTATAGGTGCCCACCAGAGGACTTTGGTAGTGGTCCAACAATATCCAATCCCCAAGCGTCAAATGGCTAGGATGCAATAGTCGGGTCCAACACTTCAGGAGGTTGATGAATAAAATTCGCATGGAATTGACAAGCCTTGCATCTTCGAGCGTAGTACAAACAATATTTTACCATCGTTGGCCAATAATATCCCATCCTTTTTATATGGAAGTGGAGCTTTGGTCCAGACTGGTGTGACCCACATACCCTAGAATGTGCCTCTTACAAAGCTTGGAGAGCTTCTTCTTCTCCTAGGCATCGTAAAAGTACTCCCTCGAACGACCTTCTGTATAGAGTATCGTTGTAGTAAAGGAAGCGAGGTGCACGACGGCGGATTTCAGTCCTTCTCTTCGGATTTTCTGGAAGTATCCCATAGCATAAGTAGTCGATAATGGGTTGTCGCCATTCTTCTTTCTCAACTTCAGAAACAACAACAAGATGCTTGAGTTTGTTTTCTTCACCTTCAGCCTCATTTGGCGGTGGTACTACCCATTTTTGGCAGACGGTAACTTGGGCTTGGTCAGGCAGGGCTAATGATGAAGCTAGAGCAGCTAAAGCATCAGCCTTCTTATTTTCTTTCCTTGGCACATGCTTAATAGTCACATCACCGAGCCACCCCATCAACTNATTTAACTCGAGGAGTTCTTCGAAAATGGCTGGCACATCAGAATCCAGGAATGGGTACTCTTTTGCCTGCATTTGTTTAGAGTCAACTTTCCACTTGGCTTGTCTTGAAAAGAAGTGGATTTCATACTCTTCTTCTTGCTCACCTTCGTCATGAACTTCATAAGTGACGTATTGACATTCATAGCTTCTTTGCTTTCAGATTTCGGTACGAACTTGCCCCACTTCCTGACTTCTTGCTTGTCATTCGCTTTGCAAGGTTCATAGATGGGTAGCCTTTCATTTCCAGCAGAGGCCATGCTCAATTCCATGTCATGGGCACGAGTTGCAAGTTCTTCAAATGTGTTAGGCTTGATACCTTGTAAGATATAATGCAATCCCTAATGCACGCCTTGGATGCACATCTCTATGCCTGAAGCTTCACTAAGCCTGTCTTTGCAGTTGAGGCTTGCATTCCTCCAACAATTGATAAAGTCGATAACTGGTTCCCCCTTTCATTGACGAGTATTTGTAAGCTCTATCATACTCACAGTGCGTCTTGTGCTATAAAAACGATTGAGGAATTCTTGCTCTAGTTGATCCCAGTTGTCGATAGATCTAGCCTCGAGGTCCGTGTACCAGTCAAAAGCATTTCCTTTAAGCTGGCGGACAAACTTCTTGATGAGGTAATCTCCATNTTGAGATGAGAGGTAGAGATTGTCCCACTAGGCGTGCCAGAATTTGTAGACAATAAATTTGCGTTGAGAAAATAAGATCAAGACCAAAAAATATCGCAACAATCGTAGTATTTTAATTCAAATATTTGAGTGTTACAATCTCTATGAATCCTCTGATTCTTCTTTTCAATGGTAAATAAATTCAAGGGCATTTGAGCTTGATCTTGAATCTATGTTTGTTACCACGAACGATGATCTTGTTCTTGAGCTTTGAGCTTGATTGCTTGGACTTGAACTTGATTTGGTCTTCGTTTTTGAGCTTGAACTTGATTTGGTCTTCGTTCTTGAGCTTGAACTTGATTTGTTCTTCGTTCTTGAGCTTGAACTTGATTTCTTGAAATTGAACTTGAAGCTTGAAACTTGTGGAGGAATTTGTAGCGTTTGATCTACGAGCTCTTTCTTGCTTCTTGTTAAAACTTATGATGTCTTTTATGAGTTATGAAGACCCCTATTTATAGTTGTGGAAGAGAGGAGTTGTGATAAGAACAAACTCTTTCCGACCAATCAAATTGAAGTGTGATATGGCCACATTTGATTGGCCAGAACATGTCACTTGCACACGTGATACGATTTCATTGGCCTTTTAGTGTGACTTGGCATGCCTTGTCATTTTGATACGTGACATGATCCTATTGGCTCTTCCGCTTGACTTGGTGTGCCACATCATTTCACGCGTGGCACCAAACTGGCCTCTAGGAAGATGATCTCTTGGGCCTAATGAAGTGGGCTCATCATTTATAGCCCAATTAAGTGGACTAGCCCAATGGATTAAGATATATTTATTTAATCCATATATATTGGGCTTATAAAAGTAATTCAATTATATTAGCCATAATATTTATTTGGACCAATATATCTTGAATTTAAAATATAATCCAAATTATTTTATGGATTTAGTTTTAATAAAATTTATAAGCCTACAGAATCCATTGTGTTTAGTTCCTCTTGTGATTTGAGGGTGGAAAGCTCTAACCTTTTTCATAGGTGTTGTAGGTCATTTATTCTTGAGAAGAGACTCCTCCCAACTAATTTCAAGAAAAAAATGGCCACAGATAGTATTTTTGATGTTAAGAGTTTATGTTTGATATTAAAAATCTTAGCTTTAGTTGGATTGTGACACCTTTGTCCTTACAGAACGATTTATTATTTTTGTTGCGTTGGCTAATGTTTCATTATTTAAATGTGTTAGAACATTATTTATTACCAATGAAAAAGGAAAATTGATTAGCTAAAGATATGATTTTTAATGTTAGAATATGTCTAAGAAAGTAAAAATCTTAGCTTTAGTTGGATTGTGACACCTTTGTCCTATAAGACGATTTAAACTTGGAAAAGGCTAGACTTTTCACTCAATTAGGGCAAGAATTCTTCAAAAGAGGCTTGCTTTTCTCAGTGTTTTATGGACTCAGTTGATTGATTGAATCCTTAGTCGACCATAGATTGTTTCTACAATCTGCTAAGCTTTTTGCTGCCGTCACCAGCTACCTTTTTTCCTTTTCCTTGGTTTGCAACTTTTGATCTGAGAGTGCCTGCCAGTTAATTTTAACCAGTGAATGTATATTTACAGTTTTTATGCTTTTCCAGATATGTATTGAGATCCAATATTTCTTTTCTTTCTTTTGTGGGTGTGATCTAATTATTAATGTCCATTATCCTGAGGTCACTATTTTAGAAGAATCCACTGTGTTTAGTTTCCTCTTGTAATTTGAGAGTGGAAAGATCTAACCTTTTTTCACAGGTGTTGTAGATTATTTTTTCTCGAGAACAAACTCCTCACAATTAAGCATCATGACAAGTAAGTCTTCCTATTTTCATGTGATGCCACATTACACTTAATGGTTTATGACATTTATAATCACTGCAAAATCCTGCGTCATAAAAAAACAGTTGTGAATTACTGATCTAGGATGCAATTTACCCTATCTCTGACTAGGATTTATACAAGATATTAAAGAGTAAGGGGAAAAGTATCTTTTCTCCTAAAAATTTTCTATAAAAAAGTTCTTTCTCGTAAAAATTCCCTTTCCTTTCTAACTTAGAAAGTATAGTTGTTTTCTCTTCCTGACCCTTCGGCAAGCCGTGTTGTCTGTTCATTGGATTGATGTTTGATAGCTTTTCCTTCTCCCCAACCTCTGTCATCTCTCTCTATTTTGAGTTCCCACTCTCACTTTTTAGGCTTCACTTACCTCTTAGAGAAGATCAGTCTCCAGTTTCACTTGTCAAGTCAGGATAGCCGTCGCTACCTTGATTAGAACCAAGGCCCAAGCTGGTGTGAATTTAGAGGGTTAAAGATCAAATAACTAAAGTTTGCACGCGACTGGTAGAGTCTTACAACATCAGAAAGAGGTTGTGATGCTATGCATCAGCCAGTGATAGAGAAAATTAACCACATGTCCAAATCCAGTCACGCTTTAGATAGAGATATATGATGTTTATCCCCCGAAAAAAATGATATAGATATGTGTGATTTCTGATGCGAGGTTTTAGGATTAAGCAAAGGCTAAATCCTTACCTATCTTCTAAAAGCTATTAAATGAAATCCTAATGATTACTTGAAAGAAGGGCGTTGAGTTAAATTTACATCAGAAAAGAAGAGGAGCAGGTAGAACACTTTTTAACTTGTTCACATTAAAAAAGGGAAAAGAAAAAAGAGTGAATATATTGCTCAAAGCTTTTCTGGACTAAAGAAAACCCAATAATTACAGGTGAGAGGTTGAAGAATATAGTTGGGTCTCAGAGAGCACTAATTCTGAATCATCATCTCTGTATATTAGGCTTGAATCCAACATTTGGAACTTAAATTAAACCCTTTATGGGGCTCCAGGCATAATGAGGCTAATGGCCCTAGTGAATTGGATTTTTTGCTCAGGTGGGCAAGCTGAGCATGCATTTTGTTAAAAGATTGAAAAGTATGTTGTCGCTGCACTTCTCGTTTCGTTAGTACGTACTTTTACATTTCAATTCATCTGCTTCAAGAATTCTTGCCTGCACTCATCTTGTCATCATGATACCAGTACTCAATCGTGTTGCCTGTGGGTTGAAGATTGTTTCAAAGCATATAGCTAGTGGGTTGAACCACAAATTCCAACAATCCATTGTCCGAATGGCTTAGGTATATGAATTATTTGGTATTTAGGCTGAATATTGAAAAGGAATTTTCAAATATATCCTCTAGCTCTGATTATAAAGTTTTTAATACATCTCTGAATCAGCAATTCTTCTCTCTTTTTGGATATGCAAACTAACAACACTTGGTATTTTCTTTGTGTGGAATATTTCAGAGAAAGCAAGCTAAAAAGATGGCCAAAGTTGTTCATGTTGACAAGGAGGAGCCCTGAACTCTAACTGTATTCCTTCGCATCAAGCTGCCAATCTTTTCTTTTTCTAGAATGCCATTGAATTTATTTATTTTACCATTTTTCTTTATTTAGATTGTAGGTTTGTCATCAATGTATGAATATATACAACGTATAGAGCATCACAAGGACCTAATGGCCATACCGGAAGGATGCAAAGGTAAAGCAAGAACTCTGATCTTTTGCATCTCCAGCTTATGCTTCGTTAGAGATGGATCATGTTGGAAAGCACATGTTACTTTGATCTCTAAGTTTCATAATTGTGGCAGGGAGTAGAATAAAATGATTCTTATGTTTGCAACTTTAGCCGCAGCTTATATAGGTGAATTCATGGAGGGCCATCATTGAAATAGTCTTATTTGGCTTATNAGCTCTTATTTTTGCAACTTTAGCCGCGGCTTATATAGGTGAATCCATGGAGGGCCATCATTGAAATAGTCTTATTTAGCTTAGCCCAAAGCAATGTATAAATATGGTGGGTGGCTCAAGAGAATTACTTAACTTAGGGAATAGAATAGGGGAATCTAAATATACAACTATTTTATATACGATCTAGAGTGATAACAAAAAAATTACGATGATATTAAAGAGTAAGGGGAAAAAGATCTAAAAAAAAAGACCTTTTTCATTAAAATTCCCCTTTCCTTCACTTAATATCATACTTCGTCTCAATGAATATTCACTTTAGATTGCTTAGTCCATCTCATTATTAATTCATTGTTAAAACAATTTGAATATAAGAATTTTTGTCAATGTTCGATTCAAGTGGTATTAGTCATCGTTTCGGGGGCGGAGCCATGCACCTCAAATAAGACGCTCAAATTGATGCCAACTTGAAGCAACGATTCATAGAATCTCAACTTTAGAAGGGATTAATATATGCATTATTGTACGTTGGATCATGCTGAATTAAGTTATTCTAATGAAAAATTAATTATGTATATGTTATTTTTAAAGTTCTCATCAGTTGAGCAACTTCACTTCTTGATTTTCTTCTTTAAGTGATGTTTTTTTCCCTTTCTTCTTTTTGCGCTTCTCTTTGTGTATCTTTTAGCAGTATCATTTGCATAACTCGTTTTTCAATGGTACACTTTTCAAAATCCCAATTTTTAGAGTTTGATTATTAATTCAATTTTCCTTATGTCCTTGATTCATTTAATTTTTTAAATTGTATAACGATGACGACATTTATATTAAGGAAGATCTTCAACAATTCAAAACCTTAAAAGTCACTTCTAACACACTTTCCCCCAAGTAAGATCTTTAACAATTCATGTGAGGCTTGATTACATAATTTTCTCTACTTCTTTCCATCTTCAATCCTTGAATCCTTTTCCTTTAGCAAGCTCCCATCTTGCAGGCTTTCTTGGCCTCTGACATTTTTTCTTGTATATTCTCCTTCATTCCCAGAAACAAAATTAGAGCAAACATTAGATTTAATGCCTTTTATTTTACCACTGTTTTCTATTTTTTTACCTTTAGCTTGATATCCATCACATTTAGCATATTTGATTTTTTTTTCTCTAGTTTCTCATTCATTATTCTATCACAATCTTCCTGCATGATCACTCTATCTTCGTCTCTCTCCTTGACTGCATTCTGAATCCCTTTCCAGACTGACCAAGTGAGCACTAAAAGCATCAGTATTCTTTCTATTAAAGGTAATAAATAGGTCTTTGTGACTAAATGCTATTTTTCAATTGTGACTGAATCCTAAATTTTAAATCATCTCAATAGGGACGAAGAATACACGTATCGAAAACACCAGTCCCTCAGCTACGGCTTCGACAACTTTATGTATTGCTTGATTTTCATCAAGTTTAGCAAATAATTCAAGATTGGAGATGGATTCGCTACCGATCTGATCCTCCACCTTCTTGTCCATTTTTTATGCAACCTTGTTATGCTCCTGAAAATAGAAAAAATACAGCTGAATCGACTCCAATTTTATTTACGTCTTTGATACTGTTAACATAAGTGATTCCCTTAGAACATGGAGATTGAAGTAGGGTTTTGATGAACATAAAAGAGAGAGAAAGCGTGCATTGTATCGAAAAGTATTTGGAAAGAATGAGAAGTCAAAAACTTCTTTGCAAGGATGACCGATAACTATTTATACAACTAGCTATCTATAGAAAATGGCAAACTGTGTGAAGTATTAGCTATACACTAAATTAAGCGCATCAGCATAAAACATGAATTGAAATGACTCGTGGCCTAAAGCCAAGTTTGTTTTTGTTTTTGCTTGTTATGAAGTTATCTTATAAAATATAATATTTATATTCACATTGGTAAGAAAATTCAAGTTAATAAGATGGTAGCCATGTATTTACAATTTTGTTACCTTGGATCTTATTGTAATAAACGTTATTTATCAATATGAAGATGTGAATATCTTAATTCAAAGTTCTAAAATATTTTTATTGTTAAAATATAGATAGTTTTTTTTTAATAAGGATTTTGTATTTTTTTCTTTTTCTATAAACTTCTAAGCGAAAATAAGATTGTAAATCCATAACTAAAAATATTTTTTGGGCCTCAAAATTTAGGGGGCCTAAAACTAGCCTCCCCTTGAGCCACCCGTAAATCATAAAAATGAAGCTTGTAAGGATATAGAAGGCACTTCCTTTAGTAGCAAGCGAGGCCCCCACGTAGCAAACATGAATACGTTCAAATACAGAAGAAGTGAGTCTTGTACTTTTATGAAATGGTAACCTATGCTGCTTTGCCATGGGACAAATTTCACATACAAAAGAATTCTTAGGAATAGAAATATCAGGAACAAGATGCATAGACTGTACTTTAAGAAGGGGGACATGGCCCAATCTTTGATGCCACAGTATGCTAATATTTGTAGGAGAAGTCATGAAAGCAATCCTATTGATGTTAATAGAGTTTTCATGTACAACAGTACTCACAAGTGAATTGACAGATTAAAAGGAATAGAATTAACAGTTCTCTTGACCGGATGAATGTGGGAAGAAAAGTTGAGCTGTAGAATACATAATCCACCTGCAGCTCTACCAGTGGCGAAGTCAGAAAATTCAATAAGGGTGTTCAAATTCGTCAGTTGACCCTTCAACCAAAGTAGCTTCGCCCCTGAGCTCTACCAAATACTGATGAGTTTTTCGGTGAATGGCCTTGCAATATACAACATGAATTTGAGAAGGATAATACGCAATGCAGTTCAAAACAAAGTTTGTGAACAGATAATAGATTGAATTTGAAACTCGGGACAGAGAGCACATTGTCCAGAACAACATCAGAAAGAATTTGAATACTGCCCGGGGAATCAATTATTACTTTGTAGTTATTTGGCAGCTTAACTATCTAAATGCTTCAAGTTGAACAAGGCAGATTTATCAGAGGTCATATGGTGAGAAGCCCCTCAACCTACTATCCACCTAACAGAGCCTAATTGACATGGGTTACACAAACATTTACCCACAGTACGAGAAGAGTTTAAAGCTATGCCTGTGAAATTAGCGGAGCACTCAAGAGGACTTAGACAACATGGCCACGGAGACATTTGCTTGAAGTGTCGGCATAAAACTCGAAGAATAAGAGACAGTAAAACTCGCCGTAAAAAAGCGAAGAATCACGGAGAGATGAAAATAAATCGCCAGAAAATAATTCGTCAACGGCAAATTTCCCCATAGTAACCACCAACCCAGTCAACCAGAAACTCTGATCCATGAAGAAATCACGGCTAAAAACTCAAAATATACGAAGAATCCTAATCACCGATTGAAGTGAGTGCGAAATATACCGAAATCCTCCTCAAAGCACCAAATTTAGACAAGCCCAGATGGAAACTCCGACAACTGAAAATTAGAGACTGAGGGTAACAACGGACGAAATCGGATAGCTCGACCTATAATTATTCATACAACTAGCTATACACAATGGCTAACTATGTAAAATATGAGCTATACATCAGCATAAAACATGAATTGAAATGAATTTCCAACAGATGAAACTTACCTTAACCATGCGCGCGGCCAATGGTGTTTCTGAACGCCGGAGTTCCGGCAATGACAGACTTAATTGGTGATACGAATAGCTTGGCTGAATTCTTCAGCAATATGTGAAAGAAGGGACATTTTTGGATTTTTGGGTTAGAAGGGAAATTTTTGGGTAAATTTAAGATTTCAAAATTTGAGCTATTTTATGCAGAATCCTGATCACGCTGCATGGGTTTCCCTTCCCCAACCCCCTCCCACCCCTCTCTTATGCATTCAAAATATCACAGGTAATGAGTATTGATTTCCGATTATTTTTACGGTAAAGTCACTAAAGTAACTTAATTTCACACTCATGGTCACTAAGTTTATTTGTATCATTAAAGTCAAATAATAACTTTTAGGGTGAAAATTATTTATATTCCCTGAGTTTGTTTAAAAATCAAACTCATCCTCCAACTTGAACAATTGTTATTCTCCTTCTTCCATCCTAGCTATGTCTATTTCACCCTAGATATTTTTAATTCCCCATATATGTAGTACCCTTGATATTATGTTTTATTATATAATTTTATTTAAGTTTATTAATCATATAAATATAGAATAAGCACAATATGAATTTATTACAAATCTACAACTACTTTTATGATTATTATTTTAATATTAGGTGTATTAAATATGCATATAACATGTGTCTATGTATGTGTGTGAACCGGGGAATCCATTGNATATATATATATATGCGTATGTGTGTGTGTGAGTTTTTATTGTTATTAATAGAATTCATTTCTAAATTATAATATAGAGTTCATGTAAATTATAAATAAATAACTTTTAAGAATTTGTTATAAGATTCACCTTTATTTTTCGCGCATTAATTTTTATGCATTGCATAATTTACAAAGTTCTCACACTCTTTACTCTCAATTTCGTTAAAAGATTGAGCTTTGATAGCTATTACTCCATCCATTTCAAATTAGACGATGTACTTTCCTTTTTAGTCTGTTCCAGAATAAATGATACATTTCTAAATTTGAAAATAAGTCAACTTTATACTCTTCATTTTACCCTTAATGAGATGCTTTTATAACCACGCAAATGTCATGACCCCACAAAGCTTTTACCCTTAAGCTTTTAAGATCACAAGTTTTAAAAGTCTTCTTCTTTTTCTTAAACTCCGTGCCCAATCAAACTACCTCATCTAAATTGAAACGGAGGGAGTAATAAACTACTGATACTACCAAATTATTTATTGTAATTTTTTTATTTGTCTTATTTTATTTTATTATTAAACACCATCAACTTATATAGTTGATTATTACTTCTCACTAATTTTTTTTGTAA